GTGGGTTTTGGCTTGCAGTTTGGGCACTCGGTCTCTAAAACAGGGGTGTCAAACTCAATTTCATTGAGGGCCGCATCAGCATTGTGGTTGCCCTCGGGGGGACCAGGTGGGTGCGGCCTACTGGGTGGGCGTGGATGGAGTGGATGTGGCCTACTGGGTGGGCATAGCCAGCTCTACATCGTTCGCGTCAAGGGTGCCTGTGGGGGCCTGGGCAGGAGTGGGACAGATCTGAGGGTCTCTGGCGAAGGGGGTGGGACCGGGGCAAGCGCCAAGGCATGGTCCATTTCTTCATTTCTCACAAAGGTGACATCTCCCCAGCATGCACCCAGGGGGCAGGGGCGATGCGGCAGGGGCTGGTTCCTCTCTGTTTCTAGACGGCCTTGTGGAGCTAAGACTGAATGCGTTTCAGCATAAATGGCCACCACAAAATTGTATATTGGCTCCCGGCCGGCCTGGGCCAGGGCCAAGGCAGCGGGGGCCGTTCCTTCACTGTTTCCAGGATGGCTTTGTGGGCCACATGAAACCACTTTGCGGGCCGCATCTGGCTCCCCGGGCCTTGTGTTTGACATGTCTGCTCTAAAAGGTTCGCCATCATCACTGTGATAGGAGAATCACAAAGATGTGTCTGTTGCATCACCAAGAGTTGAATTCACCCCGAAGAAGACTTTACCTTGAAGGACCTCAAGGATAGGGAGAGGTGGAAGTTACAGTTTTTAAGAAGGTGTGATCCTACCTTTTTACACTTTTTTTTCATAGTAATGAGAAGAAAAAAATGACAACAAGGATTTCAGCTTTTGTACCGAAAACAGGAGGTAATGCCGCAAGGTAAAATATCTTTTTAATAAATGTATTTGTAGCATATCATACCATATGAAAGGTACACGTTAAAAATATACAATTAATACCTGGGATGTTCCATAGCAGGGAGACACAGGACACATACACACATTTAATGTAAATCACTTAATGCCCTTTTTATCTTGCTCAAGAAAAGGAAGAAGGTGGTCTAAGTGGCCCAACACAGCAGTGGGGAGTGAGAATAAATGAAAATAATCATGTAAGACAGGGGTCTTCAAACCTGGCCCTTTTATGACTTGTGGACTTCAACTCCCAGAATTCCTCAGCCAGGCACGTGTGCCTGGCTGAGGAATTCTGGGAGTTGAAGTCCACAAGTCATACAAGGGCCAAGTTTGAAGATCCCTGATGTAAGAGAACAGGAAAACAGACCATGATCTGCTTTACATGCACACTTGAAATATGTCAAGTCACCTATAGTGGTAGTTATCCTGAAGCTTCCATGATATCCACTGCTTTCCAGATCTTAGTTTCAACTTTTCACAGTCTCTGTTGTGTAACCCTTATTTGAGTTCCTTCACATAATCAAAGCTACGTTTTCTTTGGTCTACTAGTTAAGGAAGCTATCTAATATCTTCACCTCTCAGAGGCCCGGCTTCTCTTTCCTTCCTTCCAACATTTTATATTCTCCCAGATCTACCTTAGGGATATGGCTTATATCTGATCCAATTTGCTGAAAGGGTAACAGCGGCTGTAACGCAAAGCTCCATTTCAATTAATGCTTTCATATCTTGTGGTAGGGAAGTCAATGGCTTCATTAACTTGTCCGGAAAAGCACTTCTTTCTGTCTGTGTGAATGATTTTATTGGCAGTTCCACCTATTTGGAATTCATCTCCCCTGCGTTAATGTTTCTGCCGGAATGGGACAACTGAAATCCAACTGATCTTAGAAAAGTAGGCAGGATCAGACCTGGTTTATTCATGGATGAGAGACCAGTTGCAGCTGGGAAGGCAAAATAGATTTCGCAAGATGTCCTGCATCGCTCTAAGCCAGTGGTTCTCAACCTTTTTCATGCCGCGACCCCCAACCGGTCGTAAGTCGAGGACTAAACCGATCGTAAGTCGAGGACTAAACCGGTCGTACGTCGAGGACTAAACCGGTCGTAAGTCGAGGACTACCCAACCGGTCGTAAGTCGAGGACTTTCCCTGCCCGGGAGCACCGCGCATGCGTGGTTCCACCCCCTGTGCTGGCCGAGGCATAGCTGGCAAGCGGCAGAGACGGAGCAGGCCGACCACCAGCTGGCCCAGCCCAAGGGAGGCAAGGCACCCGCCGGAAAAGGGAAAAAAAATGGCGGACAGCCTTGCTTGGCGACCCCCGTGAAATGGTCGATCGACCCCAAATGGGCTCGCGACCCATAGGTTGAGAACCGCTGCTCTAAGCAGACATCCATGAAATTGCCAAAAGTTGAACTCAGCTCATATGAATACTTACTTTGCTAACAAAGCTATTACTTAGATATAGATTTCCCCCCCTCCACTCAGGAAGCCAAAATGACCATCATTTATTTTTAAGTACTTTAAAAAAAAATCCACCTTTGATTCGCATTGATATTTGGTAGCCATGAACTAAAGCACCTGTCCTTAATTCAAGAAGAAAGATATATTTTCCGCTGGGTTTCCGTTTGGTGGAATGAATTCTCAAATCATCAAAAGCCCCCAGGGAATCATTTTCTCCAGCTAAATTAGATGTTCTCAGATGTCCCCCACCGCTATTCTTTTTTTCCCCCTAATTCTTCTTTCTTTTCTTCATCAACTGTGCCTTGACTTGCACAATCTTTTATGACCTGAATTTGCTCAATTCCCGTCAGATCTCCTAAACAGCTAGCTGGGTCCTTCAATTTCTCATGTCCTTCTTTGGCATCTGTAATTATTCCCATCATATTTCTCTCCTGTTTGTTTAGTCTGCCTTTAATATGCCCTGTCAGGATTTTTTTGCCAGATAAATTATGGGAATAAATAAAATAATCATAATTATCACAGACACAAACCTCCGCAAGGGGTTGGGTGCCAAATAGAATATCCTATGGAACATAAAACCAAATAAATGTCTATGGGGATCCAGTCATGGTTGACCTAAATATGCTTTTCCAAAAGGCAACTGGAGTTTCTTGGTTTTTTCCTTGAAAATGTTGTGCTTCAGTCAGGACTGAAGAAGCTTCTTGGATGGGAAGCAAAACATTTTCAAGGAAAAAAATCAAGAAAGTCCAGCCTTTTGGAAAAGCACCTTTAGGGACAGTAAAAATAGTAGTGGATCTCACAAAAAAAAGGGAGAAGATCCCAGCTCTGGAATCTAAAACTATAGGTATCAACCCAGCTTAGTGTTCTCCCTCCATCCTCCATGTATGCCTTGTTGCTGTTAGTTGCGAAGTCATGTCCGACCCATCGCGACCCCATGGACAACGTTCCTCCAGGCCTTCCTGTCCTCTACCATCTTCTGGAGTCCATTGAAGCTCACGGCTACTGCTTCAGTGACTCCATCCAGCCACCTCATTCTCTGTCGTCCCCTTCTTCTATTGCCCTCAATCTTTCCCAGCATTAGGCTCTTCTCCAGTGAGTCCTTCCTTCTCATCCATGTATGCCTAAAGGCCATGAAAGTTGCATGTTGGAAAGTTACATATTGGAAGAAAGGAATATCAACAGCTCTCAGTCAGGCTAGCTCAGAGGTCACCAACCTTTCTAGGTTGACGGACCAAAGGAAAACGGAGGGTTAAGCATTTTATATGTGTGTGCGCACGCGTGTACACATGGGGCCAGGAGCACACGTGTGCCGCAAATGGGGCAGGGCTAGTGCCCACGGGATACTCACTAGCCCTGCCCCATTCTTGCGTGGCACAGCATCTTATTTGTGCATGGTGCGGCAGCAGCTGTTTTTATGCCTTGCAGCGTGGCGGCGACTTATTTTTGTGCCCCGCAGTGTGGCAGCACCCATTTTTGTACCCCGTGGTGCGATGACATCCTGTTTCTGTGCCCCGTGGTGCGGCAGCATCCATTTTTGCACCTTGCAGTGCGGCAGTGTCCTGTTTCCATGCCCCACGGTGCAGCAGCATCTGTTTTTGTGCCTTGCAGTACGGCAGTGGCCTATTTTTGTGCCCCACGGTGCAGTGGCACCCTGTTTTTGCACCCTACGGTGCAGTGGCGACCTGTTTTTGTGGCCTGAGATGTGGCAGTGGCATCCCGTTTTTGCACCCCAAGCCACGTCGTCGTCCCATTTTCACTCCCTGAGGCACACCGGTGTCTCATTTTTGCATCCCGCAAAGCAGCATCCTGTTTTCACGCCCTGCAGCCGCAGCGCTAGTGCAAGTGAGGGGGTGCACGCACACTGGCCAGCCTGTCCTGCAGCCCAGTGGCCAGTAGGCCACGGTCCACTACTGGGCCACAGCCCGCAGATTGGGGACCCCTGGGCTAGCTAATAAGGCTTTCCTATCCATAGGCAGTATGTACAGTATGAACGCTGGTTCTTGGTGCATGAATACCAAATGCAAGGCTATTATTTTTGTGTATTGACGGTGGGTTCTATTGATCTGACCTAGGAGGTCTCTCATGGTGTTGCTGGGTAGAGACAAGAATAAAAACATTACAGTCAAATCGGTTCTTTGTTGCACCACTGCTCTGAATCAAAGCTACATTAAATTGTCATAGAACAATGGCGCTACGGTGAGGCACTTGGGGACTTAATTGTTTATTCCCCAAACATTAAACTCTTTACTTTCCCAAATAGCTATTACATTTTTTTATCTTTGCCTTCCATTATCTTCACGCCGTTAATTTGAAGGCACTGAAGCCCGGCAGCGAAATTAATTAGGAGAGAAAAGGATGGATGAATTTTACTCTCCCTCTTATGGGTATTTTGTCGCAGATGATGGCAATATGACTCCGGATTTATTGAACTGGCCTTAGAAGAATCCTACGGGGGCAGACCTTTGATCAATGAGTATGCTGTTCATCTCCCAGTCCTATCGCTGCCTTTGTAGAAGTAATAACAGAATAACAGAGTTGGAAGGGAGCTTAGAGGTCTTCTAGTTCAAACCCACCCCCCTGCTCTAGCAGGAAATCCTAAAGTACCAAACCATTTGTGGTGGGCTCAATGCACGAAGGGGACGGTGGGAGTGTCAATGTTTACAATGTCCTTCTCTTCTTCTCCAAATCATGGAGGGACAGCCATATTCATGTGGGTGTAAGAATACCTGGACAGGGACGCCCTAGTTGTCTTTCCTTCCTCGTCCTCTCCCATCTCGGCGCGGGTTGCTGGAAGGCGTTGCCGGGCGCAGCAAGCGAAGGTTGCGAGAAAACCCAGGCGAAAACGCTTGTTCATGAAGCAGTAGACAATCGGATTCACGCAGGCGGAGGTGTAGGAGAGCAAATGGATGAAGGAGATGGGCGCTCCGGAGAGGAGGAGCTGAGCCGAGGTGGAGTCAAATGCCCTCCAGGTGTTGACGCTGAAGATGGGCGTCCAACAGATGAAGAACAAGATCACAATCACAATCAGCATTCGGATCACCAGCTTCTTGGCCATCAGATTGGCCGAGGAAGTACTGCTCCTCGGTCGGTCAATCTTCTGGTTGTTGCTGGAGGAGCTGATGGAGGAAAGTTGACGAAGGGGTATCTGCTGCTGCTGCTGCTGCTTCTTGTTCTTCTTTAAGTAGCAACCATCCCCATCTTCAAACCTGCTGTTCCCGCTAGTTTTCCTTTCTGCACATGGAAAGCAGGACCAATGACATCAGTGCTCGTTAGCATTCAACACAACTTGGCCTCCTGGGCTTCCAGCCCTACTTCTCCCTGTGGAGTTCCCCCTTTCTCCTTTGCAATCAGGGGTTCTCTTGGGATAAACTTAATTTTTATTTTATTTTGATTTAACCGTATTCTGCCTTTATTATTTTTACAAATTTCTCAAGGTGGCGATCATATCAAACACGCCTTCCTCCTCCTATTTTCCTCACAACAACAACCCTGTGAGGTGAGTTGGGCTGGGAGAGAGGGACTGACCCAAAGTCACCCAGCTGGCTTTCGTGCCTAAGGCAGGACTAGAACTCTCAGTCTCCTAGTGACTGACCCAAAGTCTCTATCTCTATATCACCTCTGTCTCTGTCTCTATCTCTATCTCTATCTCTATCTATATATCATCTATCTCATCTCTATTATCTCTCTCTCCATCTCTCGCCATCTATCTATCTATCTATCTATCTATCTATCTATCTATCTATCTATCTATCTATCTATCTATCTATCTCTCATCTCTCATCTCTATTATCTCTCTCCATTTGTATTTCTCTCTCTCTCTCTCTCTCTCTCTCTCTCTATATATATATATATATATGTGTGTGTGTGTGTGTGTGTGTGTGTGTGTGTGTGTATCAGGTATCTCATCTCTATCATCTCTCTCTCTGTCTTCATCTCTCTCCATCTGTATTTCTCTCTCTTCCCCCCCCTCTCTCTCTCTGTCTCTATCTCTGTCTCTATCTCTGTCTCTATCTCTGTCTCTATCTATCTATCTATCTATCTATCTATCTATCTATCTATCTATCTATCTATCTATCTATCTATCTATCATCTATCATCTATCATCTATCATCTATCATCTATCATCTCTCTCCATCTCCATCACTATCTCTATCTCATTTTTTGTGCTTGTACATGTCAGGCTATTAAGACAGAAAGCAAATGGACCGGTTCAGTCTTCAGAATTACCTCGAGAAAGTTTTCGGTTGCTGACATCAAATTTTATCCCTCTATAGAGCTCCAAGGAGATTAATCCATACGCTATCATCATTACGATCCCCGGGATAAGGAAAAGGATGAGGAGTTGGAAAATATACCTGGGAAAGCCAAAAACAAGATTTAGATCACATTTTCCTACCCGCCTCTCAGCAAACCCAATTCCTAGCATGCCTCTAACACCACTATACTGTGTTTTAAAAATGAGAGTAGCAATTACTATTTATAATGGGAAAGATGGCGACTCGGGTATTGCTTGTGAGATCTCAAAAATGGTGCTGTAATTGAATCTGAAATTTGAGGTGGGATGGGGAGTCTTTACTCAACCTTCATAAGTTGCCTACATTACTCCACAGTTGGTCCTCAGTCAAGAACAGTTTCACTATTTTCAGCTCTGTGGAATTGAAAGGTGATAATTTGAAAGAAAAATAGTTGCAGGGGAATAGACAAAGCCAATTCCTTGCAACTGTATATATTTAAACAGGTAAAAAATGAAGAGTGTTGGTCAAAGTTTCCAACTTGATAGTAAGGGAAGAGTGAGCATTGTGGGAACGTTCTGGAAATAAACGGATTTTGTTGCCTGCTGAAACTATTCTAGTTGGACGCTGAAAGCGTCCAGCCATTTTAGGTATGGATGTTTCTCTTTTGAGACGGGAGGTCTCGATGGACTTAATTTTAGGGAGAAATAAATCAAAAGGCAGGCAAATGAATACTACAATGCCTGTATTTTTTTAAAATGATTATAAATTCATGATGATAAATACAGGATTTCTTTTTCTTTTTTGGTTTGAAACGTTTTCGCTGTTTAGCCAAGTAGCTTCTTCGGACTGAGCAAGTTGGCTAGAAGGTCCCCATATACGCCCACCACTCTTGAGGGAAGGATTTTCCATTTTAAATGTGAACTTTGGGACCCCCCAAAAGAATGCCCTGTTTCTTTTAAGTGAATAGAGAGGGAGACCTCAAACACAACATATCCCCTGTTTTTTATACTGCTCTTGCACCAATCCCCAGGAAGATCAAGATCACTTCACAGGTTCACAAGGAAGACCACACTTAAAGACCACCTAGGTCAAGGGTAGGCAACCTTGGCTCTTTTATGACTCGTGGACTTCAACTCCCAGAATTCCTGAGCATGCTGAGGGGAAAGAGAGAGGTTTCCAAGCTGAGCCATGCTGGCTCAGGAATTCTGGGAGTTGAAGTCCACGAGTCATAAAAGAGCCAAGGTTGCTTACCCCTGACCTAGGAGAAAGGATTTAGGAGCACAAGTCTTAACTCTCTGCCTAGTCACCTAACAAGCATATTCGGAGACATCTATGGGGTCTGACTAACCAACTTGTTCAGAATGAAGAAGTTACTTGGAGAAGCAATGAAGCATCTTTTTTTTATTTATTTATTTATTTTTTTTATAAGAAATTTTATTTATTTTTTTCCATCATAAAAAACAATCATAGGTAAACACAATAACCAATCAAAAACCCCCCCACCCACCCCCCCGGACTTCCCAAACCTAATCCCAGGATAATATTCATATAAAAGTAAACAAATACTAATA